TGTAAAAGTATTATCTTCCAAGTTCAGAAAATTATAAATACATACACACACACACACACACAATGCTTTAGAAAAGGATCAAATTAAAAGACCACCAGATGCACTGGTTGTAGCCTGTAATAGTTATAAATGTTCATTTAAACTGGAGAACTGCCAAGATTAATCTCTGCAAGATTAACCCAGTAATATGGGAAAGAGGATTCAAAAAACTTATAAAAAAAACAAAAACAAACAAACAAAAAACCCCCCACACACGCCATAAATACATCTTCAAACAGAAAAACGAAGCCCAGCAGAAGAAAGAATAGGCTTCCCCAGAATTACAACACCAAATCTTGATGCTGGTGAAGTCAAAGCCAAATTCTACTCAATATGTTGCCCAGTCAGTGCTTGTGCATAGTGGATGTTTACTTCGGTTTCCTGATGAAAAATACCCAGGTTTGAAGAGTATTTGGAAAAGCACAGTGGATGTTTACTTCGGTTTCCTGATGCAGCTCTGCTTTCTGCTTTCCTGCATGGATTTGGGTTGCTCTTCCAATTAAACTAAAAGTAGGTACTTGCACAAAGCTTAAATGCTGGGTGTTACATAATATAAAGTAGCAAGGACTAAGTATTAAAAGGAATAGATAGCCCAAGAGATGCAACAGCATTCCTCAAAATTTCTGTTTTCTTCCCTCAGAATGCCAACCATATAGTGCCTTCAGAGAGTTCTCTCCTCCTCTTCCTCCTTCCTCAGCTCCAGAGCTGACACTGCTGGCTCCAGGTGTTTCCCAAAGAAACAGGTCTCCAGAACTGACTTGCGACCAGTTCCTGCCTCACTCATCAGACCCCTCATGCCAACTCCTACACTGGTTGGGAGCTACTAACGTAAAATGCCAATCAGGTAATTTAATCAGGTATAAAGCATTATGCATCACTTAAAACATTCTGCCAAACTAGGCATAAGAAATAGTTTTCTGTTCTGTGTCTGATTAAACAAATCTCTCTGTTCAATCCCTAACACAGTCAGACCAAAACATTTCTTTTAAGCATGAAGACATAACATTTAAGATGGCAATACGGCCTTTAAAAAAAAATAAACAGCTAGGACTTCTCCTCAGAACTCAGGTAAAGTATGCTTCATCAATTTGAATTCAAGCCAGTTTTACTTCAAGACAGGAAATCCTTCCAGCTACTCAAGGACAAAATAAGAGCCTGAAAGATACTATTGACGCAAAACTACAATAAGAGCAGCTACACAACCAAATTTCAACAAACTGGCTAGCAGGCTTTCATATCTGCTCATTCTGGAAGTAGAAGAGCAAGCTGTATGTCAGGAAGTGCCACACTACAAAATAAAGCTATCAGTTTTAAGCACATAAAACTGAACTGGAGATTTTTAACACAATCTAAAACTCAAAACGATTATGAGAGTAACCCAAAAGGCATTTAACAGCGAGGAATCTATTATGGTTTATTTTACATGTTTCCTATGTCAACACTGATAACAGTTATTTTACTTGGTATTTTACTTAAAAAGGTTTTATCAAATGATGAAAAGTGAATATTTACATGCGATAAAAACATGGAGCAGTATCCAGCGAAATGCAAGCACCTTAAAAATGTGAATTGTCACCGCCATCTTGTTTTCACCTTTATTACCAATACATTTCATTTACAAGAGAAAACAAGTGATAGGACTGTAAAGAGCAATGATCAACGAGTTGGACTTCACTGTGTTGCAAAGGGCTGCTCAAAGTTCAGAGAGCACATGGACACCACCCTGGGAACTCCCCACGCTGAGGTTAAGCGGCAAGTTAAGAAAGTTAAGCTCAACAATCCCATAATTAAAACACCTGAGCTACTTGATATAAAGCACTGCTGTGGTAGAGACTCACTCAGCAGCTTCAAGAGCTGTTTTGGTGCAATATTTTACTGGGAGGCACTGGGCCTAACCAGATACTAATCAGATCACAACACTCCAACTTCTAGATATATCAGATATTATCTGTTGTCTCTGTGCCAACATAAAAAGCATAAGCTGACATAACTACTGCCTAATCCACTCCAGCTAATTCAGTAGGAAGGTGATTATGTGTCAACACCTGATCTGGATCAAATTAGCCCGGTCTGACCCAGCAGAAGGCAGATCCATTTTTAATGGTAAGGGCCACAGAGCCAAAACCTCCCAAAGCAGATTTGCAGGTGAGCTGAGGATTGCACTGTAAAGGGATGGGTAGCAAACATGAATGAAGTAACAAGAAGTGACATAGCACAAACAGCCAAGAGAATTACGATCCCCTCTGCTTCTCTGTCAAGGAGAAACTTTTCCAAGGAAAGATAATGTGAAAAGAATTTGAAGAAAAGAGATTTACTGTGGTTGGTCTTTCGGGTGACTGATGTCAAATGTAATGGGGCCGAGCACAGCACTGTTGTTGCCAGCTCATCACCACTGCATCAGGGAAGAGCAGCTTCAAAATGACTGAGACACCAGAGCTAGGTGACACCCTCCATCCCAGCTGATCATCTAGACACCATTTATTGTCTTTGTAAATGAATGAATGCTACAGCTCCTCAAAAGTAGGTAATCCACCACCATGAAGGAAGGATGTAAACTGAAACAAACTATTAAGAACAGTCTATAGGAGCACACAGGCTATAAACAACGGGCTCCTCAGCATCCATTTAATGTAAGATCCTAAGATCCACGCAACACACCTTCCTTTCAGGCTAGCTGTCATTATATAGAAATCTCATTTATTTCGAAAATATGTCATATTTTTTTCACTTCCAGCATATATAATGATTTGGGAAAGGCAAAATACAAAGCTTCTATCTCTAAAATGTTGCACATCAATTGCAATATTGAGAATATAAACAGAATGGATCAAAACCATGAAGATGACAAGTGAGCCTGCCAGCATCAAATATATTATGTGGGAAAAAAAGAGAGGAAAAAAAAAAAGTAGCATTAAAATCTCTTTTGGGATAAGTTTGCAAACCTGAAAGTGGTATAGTCATACACCACAAATCAAAACACAAGTAACTTCTGTTAGTAAAACAACTCCCAAAAATCTCTTTACAGAAGAGATTAAAAAAATAGCCTTGGTAAAGCACATACCCAAATGACTAACAGATCTATAACTTAGAATTACATTCCTTCCTTCTGGCTGTAAACAAACACCCATTAGAGAAGGCGTTTCTTAAGGACACCTTCAGTGCTTTTGCGCACAAAAATAATTTTGCTCTTGGATCATCTGGCATCTTCTTTGTCATGCAGAAGAACCTGAACAGACATATTTCCTTCATAAGTTGTCAAACCGCAACGCACCCCACAAAACGCAATTCTCTTAAAGGCTGGGTATGGAATAACCTCTGCAATGAGTATATGAATCTGATAACTCAAACTGGATCCTTAGTCTTATCCACATCTCCAGATGTATTATATGCAATATAAGGGCTTTTGTGAACCAAATAAAAGACAAGTCAATCTGAGAAACTAATCGAATTGCAATGTTTCTACACCATAGGAAGGGAAATATGTCTTGGAAGATCCTTGCTAACACTGGAGCATGAAAAATATTTAAAAGTATTTATAATAGAACTGACAGGCCTAAAAATAGACAGCCAAAATACAAGGCCCAAGAAGCATGTGGACTGAGAAGCAACAAAAACTTCTTCCTACAGGAATTGAAAGGGCTGAAGAAAAAAAAAAAAAAAAAAAAAAAAAAAAGGAGTTTCATTAGTTATAGCAGATACCACGTTGCTGTCTTCAGAATATTAAAGCATCCTAAAAAATATGACTTAGGCAAATGACTGAAGTAACGATGCCTAACATACTGTGATGGGAGCACAACAATTCAGTTGCTCCAAACATGTTAATGCAATCAAATAAGGTGCTTGTATGCAATTTAACATAAAATTCAAAGACTTCATTGTGTCTTATCTGCATATATAAATGCTAGATGCACGATACCAGTCTTGATCTAGAGACAGAAACATTGCAGTCAAGAAAGTAACGTCACCACCATTTTTACATGGCTACTGTAGGGTGCATTGGGTAACATATTAACACAAAGACACAGTCCTCTCTCAGCTGAAGTCTATAAACTAAGTTATGAACCACAGAGGGTCTCCAGATGTGGTCAAAACTAGGAACCAGAGCCCAAAATCCCTCATGAATTTTTATGACAGGGAGAATTGCATACAGTAACAAACACACATAACCATACACCTATTTGCATACGTGCAAGACTTGACTTGGGGAGCAACGCAAACACTTCTGGTAGACAATGTAATAACTCACCTTGAAAGCCAATGGAAGATAATTATCACAAAACACTCGTACAGTTTGAACACAGCACTGTTTGCGAAACACAACTGCCTTCTCACTAGCCCTTTTAAAATCATTATTCTGTGATATATATGTCTATTTGCCTGCTCATTACACAGCTGTGGAGCAATGCTGCATCAGGCTGTTACCGAATGGACCCTTAAAAATACGAATTGTTCTTGGTGTCAAATATAAACCTCAAAGCATCTCAAGGACTTGGAGACAGTTAGCCAGAGTTTCCTCCAACTTAAAAATGATGAAGTTTTAAAGGATTGTGTTCCTAAATACAGGAGAAACATAAAATACACCTTAAAAAAGGTGTATTGTGGCTGCTTGCAATGCAGTTTCACACACACACTGCCATGAGATGCCCTGACTGTATTCTGCACTACATGCAGTATGTTACTCACCCTCCTTCGCTCTCGGCCTCCTCGGAGCTGGTGGTTTCTGCTGTGCCAGGAGCTGCCTCTGCTTTCCTGCGCCGGGTGGCCCTGTGCGAGGGGCTGACCCTCTGCGCATCCCCCTTGCCCTGCAGCTCGGCTCGGACCAGCTCCTCCAGCTTCGGGACAGCCTCTCGGAGGGACTTCACCTCCTTCTTCAGCTCGTCCACGCTGAGCAGCAGGCCGTTCAGTTTCTCCAGGATCTGCAGCTGCCTCCCGTGCAGAACCATGACGGCTCCCTGCTCGCTCGGGGTTTCGTTGTGCAGGGCCGTGAGCAGCGCCGGAGCGCCCGCCGGCACACCGGCCTTCCGCACCTTGTGGTACCAGACGAGGAACAGGCTGATCCCAGCGGTGCCTGCCATCACACCCAGGATCAGGCCTTTATTTTCAAAGTGGGACATCGCTGCAGTTGCCTGAAGTAGTGACACAAGAAAACAGGGGTGAAGGTGTGAGAAGCCTTCTTCTGCTCTCACCAAAACACCGACTTGGCTCTTAAACCCTGGAAGCAGCAGGGAGCAGCACCCGGCTCCAGCACAGGCTGCAGCAGCAGCAGGAGGAGGAGGAGGA